GTAGCAAGTAAATAATGACAATAGATAATGTGCCAGCTGTACCCATTTCCTTAGAATTTTGCTGAGGTTGTATATCTATCTTCATCCTCTCCATATAATAACTAATTCATTTTTCCCCTAGACAGTGATCTTTTTAAAGTTAAATAATGGATTAGGCAGGCACCAAAGGCCTGTTTTCTAGTCCTGGTTCTAGGTCTAGATTTGAGAAAATTACTTAACTTTGCTGAGCTGTAATTTTTTTTTTTAACCTATGAAATGGAAATAATATCTACTTATTTACACACACTGGATATAAAACCCTTGGAAATTGTTCATTTAAACACCACATAATAATGAAGCTGCACTGTGGCAGACTCTGATCTAGTCTCTGAGAGTCCATCAACAAACAAAAATCTCTCCCCTTGTGGGGCTCATTGAGTAGCAGAAATGGCCAGGTCACATGGTACAGTTCTTCACTCTGCTCAGTTATTCATACCTTTCTTTCTTTCATTTTTTTTTTTTTTTTTTTTTATGAAACAAGCATTTGCTAAATAACATATACTCTGGGGTGTTTCCTGTGGATTAAATCTGCAAATCTATTATTGGGCCTAGTGATGGAGGAGAAATAGGAAGCTGGATTCCAGATAAGACTTTGCTGCAAACTAGCTTTGTGACTATAGAAAAGAAAATTTGGCCTCATATCCTGCTCTGTAAATGAGAGAGTTGGATTACATGATCTCCAATGTTCCTTTTAGATTTAAAATGTGCAGTTTTGTTTACTTCCACAGGGATCACCACCCTCCTGATGGTAGCTGGCGTGGTGCCTAAGAAGAACTTGCCAGCACTCAGGATATGCCTTGCAAATTCCAGCAAATTAGATGAGGGCAAACATCACCATCCTATACTCTGGCGTGTGATTATGTGCCATTTTCTATTATTTCTTGTTATTTCAATTGTTTTCCTACTATAATACACATTCCTTCAAAACAGGCAGCAAGAAGTGTGTAATACATATTATGGTCTGTATCAGAAAAGACTCCTTTGATATAAGAAGCCTGGATTTACATGTTAACATTATAAAATTATCTATATATTTCCCCTGTGAGTAGGTCAAATTCTGCCACTACTACCTTGTATGTTTTATTTATTAATTCAACCAATGAACCCCTTTTTATATATCATGAAAATATAAAATTTAGTTCAGCCGTCATCAGAATGATTATTCATTCCAGATTAATGAAGTTTTATTATACTTGTGTAAAAAAAAGAGAGACAAGTTTATAAATATTAGAGCATAATGTGCAGTGCAGGTATAGCTAGCCTGAGTACTACAATACCACAGTTGAAAGCACAAACCTAAAGTTTCCAAGAGATTAGTTTTATAGCATAGGTGCGAAAACCAATTATAGGAAGTTGGAGGAAGTAAGGCAGTAGAGTGTGGTTAGCACATGTGTCTGCAACCAGACTACTTGCATTTGATTCCAAACTCTACCACTTACCTGTGGGTGAGTCTGGGCAAATCACTTAACCTATCTGTACCTCAGTTTCCTCATATGTCAAGGGGAAATGATAATAGTGCCAACTATAAAGAATTAAATGAATTAATACTTTATATTTCTGTTCACTTGTACACAAGGGAGAGGAAATAAGAGAAGCAGGGACTAAGAAGCTAGTGGTAAAGGGAGGTGAGAGATGGGACTGCACTTACAGGAAGGGGTAGAGTCAAGTGGTCGAGCACAGGTGTTTTTGTGTATTTTGTTTCCTAAGATACGGGAGCCTACGCATATTTGCAAGTGGATGGAAAGGAGCCAGTGGACAGGAAGACAGAAGAGGGAGGGGCAGTTGTGGGAGCAGGACAATCTGTAACAAGGATGTAGATAACTAGAGGTGATGGGAGGAGATTTGGGGATGGTTTTCCCTTTGTTCCTTCAAAATCCAGCTAGCCTTGATAATATGTTACAAATCTGGCATTGAAATTCTGAAGGCATAGACGGTGATAGTCCTCAGTTGTTCAGGATCAGGTGGTGGTTGGGGACAAGTTAGAGAGCTGCTGTGGGTGAGCAGAGGGAACTCTTAATGACGTGATGAAAAGTAGCTATAGCAGTGGAGTGTAGCTGAGTCATTCTGGAAGGAAGCTCGCAGACAGACTCACACATAGTTCGGCACGCAGTGACAATGTGGCTCTGTTGACACAGGCATCAGGCATCCCCAGCCAACACAAAAACAGCCAAACAGGCTCCACACTCAGGCCATGGCAGAATGCCAAACACATGGGCTGTATTCAGGGCTCTGTGGAGTGACCACTCACACATGAGTATTTATCAAAACTGCCACAGGAAACAATTCGGTCCAGGAGTCAAATTCAAATTGCAAGACCACTCCCCCCGCCACACACATACACACATAGTCAGCACTATCTTCACTGAATTTTTAAAAATTTCCTGAGATATGGCTTAGTAAATAAAATCGCTTTTTCTAGAACTTTTGGCCTTTCATACCCAGAGAGAAGACAAGCTTTGCTAGCAGATTGGATGTCATGCGTATTTGGCAATTTGGGAAGAACACAGAGCTGTGAGCTTAGTTGAAACAGGAGGAAAAGTATGTATTTGATGCCTTGGGAAGCACAAAGGAAAATCTTCATGGTGGCAAGAGCTGAGGTGTCCAAGAGAGGCCTGTGAGTACCTGCCCATCCTACACTCTCAGGAAGGGCCATACTTGGTGTGAATGAAAGTCAGTGTATTAAAGGGGTTAAGCATTAAATGGCATTAAATGCAAAGGGGTTTGGCATAACTTCACACATGGTAGGCTTTATTCTTTAGCAATGGGAAACTTTCAAAGATATTTATGATTTGCTGAGGTTTTCCTTGGAAACAGTATGAAGGATGTATTAGAGAGAAGGAAAACGCGGGTGAGAAACAGTAGTATGAAGGCTATTATTAGGTTAAATCATATATAATCTCCAATAGACAACAATTTTTTAAAAATAGAATTTATTTTTTAGAGTAGTCCACAGCAGAACTGAGCAGAAGGTAGGGAGATTCTCCCTGCTCCCCCCCACATGCATACCCTCCCGCTTTAGCCACATCCCCCGCCAGATGTTTGTCACAGTTGATGAGCCATATTGACACATCATTCTCATCCAAAGTACACAGTCTACACTAGGGTTCACTCTTGGTGTTGTGCATTCTATGGGCTAGGAAAAATGAATAATGACAGGTCTCTACCATTATAGAACCATACAGAATAGTTTTGCAGCCTCCAGAATCCTCTGTGCTCCACAGACAGTGCAGTAAGGAGCCTACCATGCTTCAGAACTCCTGGCTTTTCACAAACTCTCCTGCATCATTTCTTTAGTTCTTCCCGGCCCCACCCCTGGCTATTCGACTTTGGGCAGGCATACAATAATCAAATTGCATCTGCTACTAAAGTTTAGCTTACAGATAACACAAGCACAAGAGCATTTACTTGGTTAAAGCAGTGTAAACAAGAACCAAGTAGCCTAGTGTCAGGAAAAGAAATCTAGTCAGCCAAGGCAGGAACTTATCCTGACCAGACTGTCTTTAGAGTGTGGAGAATCTTCTCATACAGGAGTACAGAGGGGGTCTGAAAGTCTCACAGAATAAATAAGAAACTTGTTTTTCTTTCTCCCTAAGTCTGACCACTCTTCTAGGGCCATGATATTTCTGTGGAAAAGTGTCACTAAACTTTTTCTGTTTGCTCTGAAATAGATATTGGCCAAAGCATAATTTTTACCACAAAGAAAACATTATTTTATGATCCTTCAAGCAGAACTACCCTCTCTAAAACAGACATTCATTTGCTTAATACTGTCAAGAAGTGGAAAACTACATGTCTGTCTGGACAACTTATGAAATGCCATGCTACTTAGGAGGGCCATGCTGTTTAAGCTGATCTTAATTAAATTTTTGAGGGGAAAAAAGGACTCTAGGAAGCCAATAAAAAAGACTGAGGAAACATTGAATTTTATTTCTTTCTGCTTTTTTTATAACAATTTCTTATAAAATTTCATTTCACTCTGCTTTTTCTTATAGGAGAATTACTGAGAAATATATAAAAAAGAAATATTTTTTCAGCTATGACAGTCAATGAATTTAGGCTATAATTTGTAGAATGCTGCTGAGGGATGGGCCTCAGGAACAATTATGCAGCATCATCCATTCAACCTCAAATACTTATTGACCATGACTTATGTACCAGGCATGGTTCCTGCTCTCACAAAACTTACACCTTAGATACAATGACAAATATTCAATAACTGATCATACAAATAACTATTAATTTCAAACTACATGAGTTCCTGAAAAGAAAAATAGTGAATGTCATAAAGTGGAGAGCCAGTCCTAGTCAATGGGATGTTCTCTGAGGAAGTGATTTTCCAAGTTGAGACCTGTAAGATGAACAAAAGCTAGCCAGGTGATGATGGAATGGAAGAGTGCTCCAGGCAGCAGAAACTGCAAGTGCAAAGGCCCTGAGGTAGAAAGGAGGATAACGTTCAAAGGTGGCTAATGCAGTCTAAGCACATAAGAGCAAAAGAGCAAAAGGTTTGAAACAAAGCTGGAATTGCAGCCTGAGGCCAGATTAAACAGGGCCTTTGACGTCATATTAAGAATTCTGGTCTTTATCCTAGAGCAATGGGCTGGAAAGTGATTGAATTAGATTTGCCTTCATCAATCATTTGAGGTCAATGCGTTTTTATTCAACATTTAACAAGTGGTATGGTAAGTTCTCTGGGGATTTAGAAGTCATATCAGACATGGTCTCTGCTCATGTAATATTTGTTGTAGGAGAAAATGAGTGTGAGTGAAAGCATGAAGGTAGGAATGAGATCGTCTTGGGAAGATAATACCTAAACATCTTTATTTGCTCAATCACAGCCACGATGAGTTAATGTGTGCAGGTTTTGGTTTTGCTTTTCTTTCAAAATGCTAAAGGAAGTGTCATCTGACAAAAGGAATCATAATCAATAATTCTGTCCACTGAAACCCTCTGTCTGTTCACAGATCAGGTACCACACAAACAACTATGCATCCAGCTCCACCTCCTTACCCCACCAGTGTTCCTCAACCTTGATGTGGAGCGACCATTTGGAAAGGTGAGATTCAGTAGCTGCCTGGATGTTTAGCATAGCTGCCCCCACCTCTCTATTCTCCACTGAGCTCATACTACAAAGGCAGAATATCTCTAAGAATTAAAATTCAAATTAAGCATACACATCTGATTAAGGAGTATTGGATTCCTCAGAGAAGCTGTTGTTGTTTTTAAAACTACTTCTTAAATCTTCTCCAGCTAAGGGCTTTTTGAGACTGGCTCCAGTCGGGTCTTGTGACTGATCAATTCTCTTGCCATCAAAGAGTCTGCATGTCACTGATTTTTCATATCGAGGACAGTCTCCAGGAGTATTTTAAAGCTAAGCTACTCCAGTTTTAATTAGACATCAGAATGCAGTGTGTTTACCACATGACCAGCACACTCTTGGTTGTGCTTTTGATTAGATTTATTTTGTATAAAACATGTACTTCCATGAATGAACATTCTAAAAAGCAGAACATAATGTTGAATGTGATGTGTGATTGGCTGTATCAAATTTCAATCTCCATCAAACAGTTCTTTTTGATATTTCAGTTAGTGACTCTGGGGTTAATTGAGCAAAATGTCTGCTGAGTATTATTGCATTGTGCAATTTTTTTTTTAAGAAAGAATGTAAATTAAATAGATTTAATTATTTTTTCAAAGATAGTACACTTGACTTACCAAATAAATTGAACTCTTCATTTTAATGGGAAGTCAACCTGCTCATTTTATTTTATTTTCTGGGTAATGTCAGGTACAAGTTGTTATTATGGATGTAGACCATTCAAGCAGCTCAATTTCTTTGGCTATTTGTCCTCCCTGGTTGAAGTAGCTGAGAGATAATCTGTTTTATGGGGGGCCTGGATGTGTTTTTCAATAGAGATATAGGGTACAACTATGCCTATTGAATAAAATAACTTGGTTGATTTTGGAAAACAGCTCAAAAATCATGAAGCCAATATAATTTTTACTCAGCTCTCCTTTAGATTCCTACATCCTTTCCCTAATAGGTAATAGATACTGTGCACTATTTTGCTATAAATACAGATTCCCCAGAGAAACAAATGAAGTGGGGAAAGGGGGATACTTTGTTCCCATCTCTTTCTTGGTAGGTTCACTCTAATTACATTTTAAATTTTTAAAGTAAATCTTATTATACTTTTTCCCCATTATAAAAAAACATAAGTCATGTTCTCTCTAGAAACTTTGGGAAATGAAGAAAATTAGAAGGAAAATCAGCTTACCTAGCTTAAATTTCACTACTCAGGAAAAACTCCCCATTGTTTTGGTATGTTTCTTTCTGTCTTTTTTTTCTTTGTACTTTAAAACTTTTTGTTTTATATACTTATGGTAATATTCTGATACGCATTTTTGAAATTTGCTTTCATTCCTTTTCACATAAATAAGCCTTTCAAGACTATTTTCAAATTCCTTTTAAAGTTATTTTAATATTTATGGACTTGTCCATCAAAAGTAACACTATAGTTTATCATAATCTGCAGTCAAAAGTGGCACCACAATGAATAGTACTGTATCATTACCTGAGGACTGAAATGCAGAAATTTTTTTTTTAATATTTGTAATTCTTTTTTTGCCACAAGAAGACTTTAATGAATAAATAATATATAATTTTTATTGCTCTTTAAAGATGCATATAGTCTGACTGCTTTCCCAAATAATTATAGAGACTTAAAATTTCCTCAGCTATGTGATGAAATTTGCTTTGCCCAAACCAGCTCTGTATATTACCTTAAAAAAAAAAAATAAACAGAATGCTTTGCTGGTTTGATAGGAGAAAAATTGTATTTCCCGGCTATTTCAACTTGTACTTTTACTTATTTCTTTTTAGGTTATAGTTATGTGCTAATTGGGGCTTGTTTTTATGGCAAGATTATTTGAACATTTGATGTGCCTACAATTGCTTTTATTTATAAAACACCTGTAATTACTTCAAACAAGAATGTTCGGACTGTCTAAGGCAAACAAATTTCTCACTGATATCTTACTCCTCACATCATACACAAAATTTTAAAAAATTATCCCTATTCATGCTTATTGCATCTTTCTCTCTCTATTCTAACAGATAATGAAAGAACGAAGTTGGACTTTTTATTGCAATTCCTGCTTCCCTGAGTTTGTGTATTTCTTCCCACCTGAGAAGGAGAATTTTATATTTTGATTTGGATTGTATCTTCATTTTTATCTTGTTTTTGTTTTCATCTTAATGATTTTTTGTTGTCAGTAATATCCATGGAGACCAAGTTTATTATAATCTATTCCTCTGAATATTAAATTGGCTTCTTGGATAGGATTTTTGAATACATATTTAAGAAACTGGGCAGAATTTCATAGATAATGATTGGTGGAAAAACTGAGAAAAAGAAAGACCCAAGTTCCAAGAGTTCTCTCATTTCAAACCTTTACCCGAATATTAACTGATGTGGACATCTTTATATTTTTATGATAGTTTCGATTTTATAATATCAGATTGAAAAATCGGTATATGTTTTTGACAGTGAAAAAAGTCAACATACTGAGAGAAAGAATTCAATTAATAGGACATAAATGTAATGATATAGAAAAGCATGTGAAATGAAGGCAGGAGGGTACCATGACAAAGGATGTTTATGCCAAACGTGATTAACATTTTAGAGTCCTTGTGTCCCTGTGGGCTAATCTTAGAATTAAAAGTTCCTGTCTTAATTCTGGTTATATGTCATTTAGTAACTCAGGAATCTGCTTAATGGTTATTTCTAAGGCTTTGAAGACATTAGTAGTAATACAGCATAAAAAGCAATTTTGAAGCTAGATGATTAACTGTTCAGTTAGAGCAATTAAAATCCAGCATGGCCTTCTGATTTACCACTGTCAATTTAAGATTTTTTAAAATTTCATCAGCAGCATACAAAAAGGCAAAATTAATAAATAACATAATTATTGAATATCAAATTTTGACTTTTTGTGAAATAAGGGGTTCTATTTTGTCTGTATTAAAATGAAAAATTCTGTGGACTTTTTAAAAATACTTTATCATCTAATATTTTTCAGCTGAAATTGTCCTTACCTCCTTTTAAATGTAACCATCCTTCCTTTCTCTTGCCTTTTTTTCTCATTCTCTTTGTCCCTTTGTTCCTTACCCTCATTTAAGCACTGTGCTAAGAGCCCTGTTATCACCTAGGAAGAGATGAGAATACAGTATCAGCAGATTTGCCCTAGGATCCTGCGTTGTGACTACATTGTCCTTTCTGTCAACTAGATTAAACCAATAGTTGATTAAATAGTAGAACCGTTGTGTTAGCTATAAAATACAATTATTTTCTTTCAAACCTATATTTGAAATGATCTTAACTAGCACAAAGCTGATGTTATACCCAATACCTTTATTCATGCTTAAATGTAATAAATTTTATTGAACACGTAGCATTTGCCAGCAGCATAGGAATGTCCATACTCCTGTTACTTCTATCTGTCCATTATTCATCTATGTGGTTATCTAGTTGTCACTTATTATTTTATTTTTATAAAAAAGATGAAACAGTTTACAGAGGGCTTACCTTGTGTAGCATGGCTAATGTAAATAAGAACTCAGATTCAAGTTCATGTGTTCTTTTTTTTTCTTTTTCTTTTATTCCAGGTGTACTGTTCTTCCTACAGTGCAGTGGGATGTAAGATTTGCTACAATGATATTCCAATTCATAAGACAATGTGATATAGTAATAGAAACATGGGTTTTAGAATCAAACTTGGATTTAAATCTGGCTGTGCCACTCACAAGCACTGTGACCTTGAGAAAGTTAATTAGTTGCACTGAATCTCAGTGAATTAATCTATAAACTGAAGATAATAATACTTATTATTGTAAAGTGTAAAGTGAATGTAACACAATAGATATTCAGAAAGTATTAACTGATTAATACTTTATTCAGACTTATCCCCAACTATATGTGTCTCAATTTCAACTATAAAGTGGCTTCCCGACTGTGTAGGTTTAAATGTCATGGACAGAATTAAATCCAAATGCCTGGATGCTATTCTTGTTTATAAAACTGCATGATTATTTTTGCCCATGCAAAACCTACCCACCTCCCACTTGTTCAAATCTTACTCTGTCCCTAAGGCCTTGATCAATTGAGGATCTTTGTTCTCTTCTTTTCTTTATCCCCAACTTAGAAGTTACACATTATTTATTTTGATTATTATATTATTTTAAAAATATTTTCATTGTGTATGTCTTTTACCCTTGTCAAAACTCTAATTCATGGTGGATAGAACCCGTTTCTTATATTTTCTTCATAGATCTCTTAGCCCTACCATAGTGTTTGACACCAAGAAAGATGCTACTTATTTAGTAAATTATCACCAAAGGTAACATTTATATACAAGATTATCAGCTGAAAATTTAAATGAATGTGACAGAAATTATTTCCTTGTTGTTGTTTAAGATGGCAAATTTTATGTTAAGCTTTTCTGATTTAAAAATGTCTATATCCAGGCAGAATAATCACATGCAGTTTTGTATAGTAATGTTTATTAAAGCTCTTCTTGTAAGAGTAATAATTAATAAAATAATTGAAATAATTTTTTAAATAACCACTATTTGGCAAAGACATTTTTTGTAAAATAAGGAATGATCTTATTCCAATTAGTTTGAATTCTAAGGGAGGGAAAGTATATGTCAGTATAAAATACCTATGAAACTGTTTTTAAAAACAGACTTTAGTTTTTAAAGCACTTTTAGATTCACAGCAAAACTGAGTGGAAGATACAGAGGATACTTCTCTTTAGAATCCATAGAAATGTATCCATTGCATACTATCTTCACTTAAAATAATAAATTCTGTTATATATGTATGTGCTCAAATATTCTGGATCATGATTCAGCAACACACTTAGTGATTTTTGACAAGTACTTTTATCTTCATTTTTGTTATTATCTTTAGTAAGCACAGATTCTGATCATTATGTAATGCTATTCTAATGAGGACAAAACTAAACCTCAAAATAAAATAAGTTCCTTAGGAACTCTGCCAAAAAATGTTATAGGTGGAGAAATGGTGCTTGATCCACAGTTTAATGTTAATTATAGTAACTACTGGAAAGCTCTATGAGATAAATATGCAAAGCAATATGTAACATTAATATGTTTTATAAGTGGGCTGTATAGACATGGTTCCTGACTCTCTCTCTATATATATATGTATTTTTATTATTTCATATACATATATTATATGTAATTTTAGACCTATGGCTTTTGCATTGGAAGAAATGAACTCCTGCCTACTCTAACACCCAAACTCTAACACCATCCAGTTGCAGCACCAGTGCTTTCGTTCAGCCCTAGTGCAACCTAATGTGAAAGAAAACAAACAAATAAACAAACAAAAAACCCAACTGTGCTGTTCCCAAGAGAGGCTGGGGCAGGGTAATGTGAAGAGGCATGCCAAGCCATGCCGAGATGTTAGAACCAAAGAGAACAGGAAATATTAGGTTTAGAAGATTGGGTTTTCATCAGAATTCCATCCAAATTCTTACAAGTGGGGAAGAGAAAAGTAGTCATTATCTTTCACATGTACGTGTATGTGTGTGTATGTGTCTGTGTCCTACGCTTATTTACAAAATAAGTCCACAAAATATATGAAAATTCAGACAGAGTTGAATTGGCATGACTTTTTACTTTCTACAAGAAAAGCTTTTAAAAATTAAAAAAACAGTGAAACAAAGGCTATGAGGAAATGATATAAACTAAGAGATAGTTTTGTTTTTCAACGTCCTCATTTTTTTAACGGCCTCAATAGTTAGAAACACATTTAAAAGAAATTTGTTCAGATAAATGTCATTATATAGGTATCTTAAAGATATGTATACAATATATCTTGTCATACTTTTAGTTACTATGACTACTTAAATATTTAATTTCTGTCTTAAAATATTTGTACTCATATTTTTTGGTAATCCAGGATTTTACTGAATATTTTGTTAATTCAAAATATCTCTAGGCTCATCCTATGGATAAAAGTGTTTCTTCATTTCTCTTTATTTTCATTAGCTGAAATGATTTTTGCATACAAAAATAATTTGTACAATATATATTTTTGAGAGCTTTTGTAGTTTTAAAAAAAAATACTAAACCACATTGTAAGCTCCTTGTGGGCAGGACCTGTACTTTATATATCTCTTGTATCTACAGAGCCTAGCACAGTCAGTGCTAAGCACATAAAAATTGCCCAATAAAAACTTGGTGGATAGCCTAAGTGACCAGACTGCAATATATATGAGTGATGCTTAAGACAATTGGGTGATGTCACACTATGGGTAAGGGTGGCATTTAGTTGGTAGTTGATTCTCTATTTACTTTTCCTTTTTGATATGTACTATTTTGGTCAGTCTTCAAATTTGAGTAGTATAAGGAAGTCTCTTTCAGACTTCTTAAAGAAAACAATTATAAATACTTTTTGAATATGGGATGGTTGCTATTAGAAAAAAAATGAGAGAAATATAAGCTTATGTATAAAATATCTTGTTTTATAGCCAGCTATCTAGCTGACTATTTCTTACCTTGGCATGTGAGCTGAATTTTAACTCTACACCTACAGGCAAATGAAGATATTACAGAAGATAGATAGCCTGCAAAATAAAAGGAACATAATATGCATATATGAGGACATGACAAAATATACATTTTACTATTACTTTGAGAAAAAGTATAGTATTTTCATAAATAAGGACATCAGAGCCTTAGTAAGTGATAACAGTCTTTAGTTTAAGTCTTAATGAAAGTTGGTGATTGCTGATTATGGTTTTAATCAAAGTTTATTGATTAACTTATAACTCAGATGGCAAATCTCTTTAAATGCCATGGAATTACATAAAAAATACTTATGGAGCATTCCTTTGAGAAAATAATAAAATGTAAAATTGCAGGTACACATAAAAATCTGAGAACTTAACTACTAAGCAGAAATACGATGGCCCAAGAAGAGTGTAAGAAAATACACACTAAAAAAAACACAATGCTATTAAAAATACAGCATAAAAGCAAAGGGTACTAATAAAAATGAAAAATAAAACAGTGGAATGTAAATTTGTTATAAGAGTGGACAAAGTATAGCTTAGTAGTAGATGCTCTGTGAATACTTACTGCAGGGAGATGCTGCCACTGCTGGTAAACAATAAGAAATAGGTTTTCAAGCAAAATTAGGTAAATGTCAAACTAGAAAAATGTGGGTGGAATGGGGAAAGGGTAGTAATATATTTATTTATTTATTTATTTATTTATTTGCTTCTATTTTTATTATTATGTAATATTTTACATATTTATAGGGTGCATGTGATATTTTGTTGCACACATAGAAGGTGTAATGATCAAGTCAGGGTGTTTGGGGTATCCATCACCTTGAGTATTTATCATTTCTATGTGTAGGAACATTTTAAGTTCCTGTTTCTGATATAAAGACTCAGAAAAAAGTAAAAATAAATAAAAATATTGAATTAATCTCCTTTCTATGTATCTAACCATCCTTTATGGATTTTTTAAAGAGATGGGGTCTTGCTATGTTGCCCAGGCTGGTCTTGAACTTCTGGCCTCAAGCTAGCCTCCTCCTCAGCTTTCTGAGTAGCTGGGATTATAGGAGAGAGCCACTGCACCCAGCTCATCCTTTAAGTTCTATTAATTCTACAAGTATTTCTCAATTTTGCCACTCCATTTTCACTGTCATGGTCTAAATCTAGGCCTCCATCATTTCCCATCTAAATTATCTCAGTAACAGGTGTTCTGCTTCTGATCTTGGGCCCTCCAATAATATTCCATACCTGCTTACAGAGTGATATTTGGTTAATAAAATACAAATCTGTTTGTTTTTTCTTTTCTTGACATCTTTAATATTTTTCCATGACCTTCAAGATAAAGTTAAAACAACTAAATTTAGTACACAGAGCTTTCTACAACCTGGTCTCTGCTGAAGCTCTTCCATATTCATTTTGTTTTTCAGCAATGCCAAACTACTATCTCATGTCCCTGTGCTTTGCACACGCTGTTTCTTCTCTACTGAGTACTCCCTTCTCCTCTTCCGTACGTGACTAACCCTTACTCATCTTTCATGTTTCCACTCAAGTACCACTTCCTCCAGGAAACCTTCTTTCTTGAGAAAACATCTCTCAGTGTTTAGTTTGTTGGTTTATTTGTCCATCTTCTTTGCTAACTAAGGTGAGAACTATGTTTTTCATTTCCGTATCTGGTGTGTCTGCCATGGTGTATGGCACAGAGCTGGTACAGAACAAATCCTTGCTGGTGAAAAAAAGAACAGAAAGAAGATACAACACAATCAACTATGAAAGCAATAATTCTAGATAATTCAAGACCGAAACTATCCTTTTGTTATTTAAAACAGATACTTAGCCACACTTTCTGAATAACCATCCAACTGATGGCTTTCCAGTCACAGACAGAACTGATTTTATATTATACTGGAAGCAGGCAGAGATTCTGTGGAGATAGCAAACAAAACTGAGAATGAGTGCCACAAACTTATCTCACTTTGTAGAGGTTTAAACTCAATCTTGGAAACTCCAAGGAAATATGGCAAATTAAAAATGTTGCTTTCCAACTTGATCCAGCATTTCTTCAAAGGAAGAATAGTGTAGTCTTGTAGAAGGAGCTTAGGCTTTGAAGTTGGACAGCCATGGGTTTGAAATCTGAGTGACACTAGGCAGTTGTGTGATTGAATCTATATTCTATATCTAATCTACTTCTAATCTTGCTTAGCCTCAGTTTCCTTACTTGTAAAATAGAGTAACACCTAACTTGTATTCTTGCTGCAAAAATTGGAGCTAAGGTATGTAAGGTCTTTATTTGTAAGACTGCTATAAATCCCCAAAAGGCAAAGATGGGCCAAAGAAAGCCATTTACAGGATGCCTCAACTTTGAATTTGTAGAAAGAATTTGGATCTGAGAGATAGGAATTCTGTGAACCCTCAAAGCAGCATATGGGCATAATAGGGCCCCAAGCAATTTTACTACAAGCCCTTTGCAAATTTCCAACCATTATTTAAAAAGTTAACTTGAATTATCTTTAGCCAGCTCCTGAACCAATGGGATTTCGTCTACAGGTGGCAGCAAGAATATTCCTGCCCAAAATGAGAAGGTGGTTTTGAAATAAAACTCCCAGAACATAACTCACAAGTAAGTACTTTCAAAGTTAAGAAGAAACAGCCTGAGGCTAGAGCCACCATTAATATTCAAATACAGATGTGTGTTATGTGATAAGAAAGAGCAAGAGAAGCAGAGAGTTACTAAGGAAGCCTACAGCAGGACCTGCTTCAGAGTTCCTCTGGACTACATCATGCTATCAGGGCTGGTTGATACTAAGGGAGACTGTCTCCCAGGGCACCTGGTCATGAAAAAGAGGAGGGTGCTGCATTCAGCCTATACGACCAGAACATTCAAGTTACGGACCTAGTAGCTGTGCCACTCTTAACTTACCACGCAGCTACCGTCATATTGCAAAACCCATTGGTGCTACATGGAAAAACGGCAGATGCTAAAAGGGAACTCATGCACCTTTGGTGTAGCATTTCCCAAACTTGCCTAATCATACTAATTACCCAGGGATTGTTAAAATAGAAAATCCCGTTCCCTTTCCTGGAGGTTGAGTCAGAGAGTTGAGCATAAGGCTGAGGATTTTATGTTACTTTAAGTAAGCTCCTCCCGGGTGATTCTTCTCAGCAGGCAGGTTTGCCCAGATTGATGTAGTCCAGTGGTATATGAAGTATTGTCCCTAGATCAGCAGCATCAGTGCCACCTGGGAACTTGTTAGAATGCAAATGCTTGGGCTTACTCCACACCTACTGAATCAAACACTCTGGGGTAGGGGCAGAGAAGGGGCAGCAATCTGTGTTTTAGAAGTCCTCTGGTGGTCCTCATCCACACAAAAATTTGAGATCTGCATTTGTCAAATGTGGCCCAGAGAGCTAGAATTTGGGAGCATAGCTGCAGATTAGGAAATTCTCTTAGTCCAAATTCTCCCAAGACTAAAAAGGGCTTGACTTAAATCCAGGAGCTGACTGCTGCTCTTCCTTTAACAGCACTATCTCCTTTTCTATTTCCTAAGAAGTTTACTTTTGTGGTTCCCTTTTAATTTCCCAGCTGATCAAGCTCACTCCCCTCTCTCCTTACTGATAGCAAAGATTCTTTGTTTTTTATTTTCCTACTTGAATTTCTCCTGCTTCTTTGCTCCTGCCTTAATGATATTGGCTGAATGCCCAACTGGCTTTGACTATTTATCGTTGAAACTTACACTTCTGTCAAAATGCCTTTCAATACTAAGTATATCCAGAGATCTGCTCTAATATTTTTTTAAAGGAAAGTTTTAGAAGATAACAAACTATCTTGCCCCCTTATCAAGCCTGACCTTTTTATTTTATTTTATTTTATTTATCTTGGAAGTCCAAGGCAATGCTTAAAGATATTATCCATTTTTTAAATGGCCATCATTTGAAGGCTAAGTCCTGGGATCACTGATATGCAACTATTCCCACAGGAGCAGAGATAATAAAGCAATCAGTAATTAACCAGTGAGATAATTTGCTGGCATAGCAGTGAATAAGGTATATTAGTATTAGTTTCTTAGGAATAAGGTATATTAGTATTAGTTTCTTAGGGCTGCCATAACAGAATACCACCCAGCCACCCAACCAGGCCTGGGTGGTTTTAAACAACAGAAATATATTGTCTGACATTTCTGGAGGCTGGAAGTCTAAGTTCAAGGTGTTGGCAGGGTTGTTTCTTCCATGGACTGGGAGGGAGTCTCTGTTCCATGCCTTTCTTCTAGCTTTTGGCAGTTTATTGGCAAGATTTTGAATTCTTTGGGTTGCGTTGCCTCATCTCTGCCATCATGCTCACATAGTGTTCTCCTTGAGTACCTGTATGTGTCCAAATTTCCCCTTTTTATGAGGATGCCAGTCATATTATAATTAGGTAAAGATGAGGCCTGCCCTACCTCATCTTAACTAATTGTATCTTCAATAATCTTATTTTAAAATAAGGTCACATTGTGAGGTACTGGGAGTTAGGACTTCAACACATTAATTTTGGAGGGGATGAAAAATTTGGAGGAAACCAAATCTAAACTCAAAATCATAAAGATCTGACCCGATGTTACCTGTGGGATTTAATGGGTTTAGGAACTAAATAAAAATCTTAATGACATGTCAGTCCTGGCTACAATTAAGAAATCTATAAAGCGCTGCTTAAAGAAATTGAAGAGGACACAAATAAATTGAAAGATATCCCATGTGCATGGATTGGAATAGTTGATATTGTTAAAATGTCCATAACACACATAGCAATCTATAGATTCAATCCCTATCAAAATACCAATGAATTCTTCACAGAAATAGAATAAAATTAGAATAAAATAGAATAAGATCCTAATAGAAAAAATAGAATAAGATCCTATTTTTTCTATAGAAAAAATAGAATAAGATCCTAAAATTCATATGTAACCACATTAGATGCCAAATAGCCAACACAATCCTGAGCAAAAAGGATAAAGTTTGAGACATTATACTACCTGACTTCAAAGTATACTACAAAGCTGTAGTAACCAACACAGCATGAATCTGGCATAAAAACAGATACATAGACCAATGGAACAGAATAGAGAACCCAGAAATAAATCCACGCATTTATAGCCAAGTGCCAAGAACACACATGGGAGATAGGACATTCTTTTCAATAAATGCTAGGAAAACTGAATATCCACATGCAGAAGAATAAAACTAGACTTATATCTTACCATATACAAAAATCAACTCTAAATGGATTAAAGATTTAAATGGAAAACCGTAAACTGTGGAACTACTAGAATAAAAGGGAAAATGATTCATGAAATTGGATTGGCCAAGGATTTTTTTTAATAAGACATCAAAAGCACTGGCAAGGCCGGGCGCTGTGGCTCACGCCTGTAATCCTAGCTCTTGGGAGGCCGAGGTGGGCGGATTGCTCAAGGTCAGGAGTTCAAAACCAGCCTGAGCAAGAGCGAGACCCCGTCTCTACTATAAATAGAAAGAAATTAATTGGCCAACTGATATATATATATAAAATTAGCCGGGCATGGTGGCGCATGCCTGTAATCCCAGCTACTCGGGAGGCTGAGGCAGAAGGATCACTCAAGCCCAGGAGTTTGAGGTTGCTGTGAGCTAGGCTGACGCCACGGCACTCACTCTAGCCTGGACAACAAAGTGAGACTCTGTCTCAAAAAAAAAAAAAAAAAAGCACTGGCAAAAAAATCAAAATAGACAAATGGGATTATATCAAAT